CCTTCTTTTTTTTTCAGTAGAGCTTTGGCTATTCGGGGTTTTTGGTGATTCCATATGAATTTCATCAATAATTGTTCTATTTCTTTGAAGAATGACATTGAAATTTTGATTGGAATAGCATTGAATCTGTATATTGCTTTTGGTAGGATGGCCATTTTAATAATGTTTATTCTTCCAATCCATGAGCAGGGGATGTCTTTCCATTTCTTTGTGTCTTCTTCTATTTCTTTTAACAGTGTTTTATAGTTTTCTTTGCATAGGTCCTTTACCTCTTTTGTTAGATTTATTCCCAATATTTGATTTTTTTGTTTCGATAATAAAAGGGATGGTTTTTTTGATTTCTTCTTCTTCAGATTTTGTTGTTTGTGTATAGGAAGGCTACTGACTTTTGCGTGTTGATTTTGTATCCCGCCACTTTACTGAATTGATTGATGAGTTGAATTAGTTTTTCTGTGGAGATTTGGGGTTCTCTATGTATATTATCATATCATCTGCAAATAGTGATAGTTTGACTTCTTCTTTTCCTATTTGGATTCCTTGGATGTCTTTTCTCTTGTCTTATTGCTCTGGCTAGGACTTCCAGTATTATATTGAAAAGCAGTGGTGAGAGTGGACATCCTTGTCTGTTCCAGATCTTAATGGAATTGCTTTCAGCTTTTCACCATTGAGAATGATACTGGCTGTTGGCTTGTCATAGATGGCCTTTATGATGTTGAGGTATGTTCCTTGTATCCCAAGAATTCAAGGGCTTTTATCATGAATGGGTGTTGCACTTTGTCGAAAGCTTTCTCAGCATCTATTGATATTATCATATGGTTTTATATTTCTTTTTGTTGATGTGTTGGATAACGTTGATTGATTTTCGGATGTTAAACCATCCTTGTGTCCTGGAATGAATCCAACTTGGTCGTGGTGAATTATCTTATGGATACATTTGTTGGATTCTGATAGCTAAAATTTTATTGAGGATTTTTGCATCAGTGTTCATTAGGGAGATTGCCTGTAGTTTTCCTTTTTTGTGTTGTCCTTATTCGGTTTGGTATTAGTGTAATATTGGCTTCATAGAACGTGTTTGGTATTGTCCCTTCCTTCTCAATTTTTTGGAAGAGTTTGTGAAGGATAGGCACTAATTCGTCTCTGAATGTTTGGTAGAATTCATTTGTAAATCCATCAGGTCTGGGCTTTTGTTTTTGGGGAGTTTTTGATTACCATTTCAATTTCGCTGCTTGTAATTGGTCTGTTTAGGTGTTCTATTCTTCTTTATCTAGCTTTGGTGAATTGTAGAGTGTAGGAATTGTCCATCTCCTCTAGATTGTTTGAACTTGTTTCCATATAACTGTTCATATAGTTACTGATTATTCTTTTTGATTTCTGCTGTGTCCGTTGTGATTTCTCCTCTTTCATTTATGATCCTGTGTATTTGTGCTTTCTCCTTTTTTTCCTTTGTGAGCCTGGCTAGGGGCTGTCTGTTTTATTATTTTTTCAAAGAAACCAGCTCTTGGTTTCATTGATCTTTTGGATTGTTTTTTTAGTTTCATTTCATTTATTTCTGCTTTGGTTTTTATTATTTCTTTCTTCTACTGGTTTTGGTTTTTTTTTTGTTGGTTCTTTTTCTAGATCTTTGAGCTTCGAGATTAGGTTGTTTCTTTGAGTTCTTTCTTGTTTTTTGATGTGAGCTTCTATTGCTATATATTTTCCTCTTATTACTGCTTTTGCTGC